TCAGTAATCTACTCCGATCACTCAGATGATAGTCACGAGCGCAATGGGGAGTGGCTATTGTTTGCATTGTTTTCTATTGACTTCATAGTTTTCGTCGTACCTCAAAATGCTTTAAAAGCCGCGTAAATCTGTACAACTGCGTAGCTCCACTTGCTGATTGTTTAACACTTTTCACTCACAGATTTTATATATAACAAAATCAAATTTACAACGGTGTCATGATTACTATATTTATTAGCTATACATCTGTATGTTTAGAATTTTGAAGTTAATTAATAATATACTCATCTGATGAGAATATAAAATTTCTTTGAAGCAATTTTGTATAACTTTCTGGTGTCGATCGATTGATTTCAAGTAAAATTCGTCACGAACCAATCTCTGATGATCGGGAGGTACTTGACATTTGTCTGGTACTCTTCTACAGTATGCACCTTAATGTGAATCTAACCAGGGGTTCTCAGTTTAAAAGGCCAGTATATTTAGACATCTTAACTCAAATTCAGTGTAATTGTCTAAATAAGTGAAATTATTTTATGTCATACATTTGGTTCCCTTGATAAATTTCGATAAAGAAAGGAAGACGAAATTTGCAGTAAAGAATGATATCATTCTATTTCACAGGTTCTCATCAGCTGCAGACTACCTGAAAATACAATGGTTATATAGGTGATAATGACATACTTTAATGTTTGAGTGGTAGTAGAGAAGAGATACTATAAAAGTGAAGCATCCAAAATGAAAGCATTACAATTTTTTAGTTTAAGTTTTCATCATCAATTCATACTCTTTCAAAGTTGAAAAGAGGGGGGCGGAGGGGTAAGACAGAAAACAGAAAAAATTAATCAACAGAACAGTGTTAGCTTGTAGATTCACATAGTAACTCAAAAAACAAAAGCGGTTACAGTTTATGATATTAAGATTTGTTCAGTGAGTTGAGATCACTGAATCAGATGACTAATTAATGTAATCAAAATCAAAATTCAGTTACCAAGGGAGTGAGAGGTTAATCACACTCTCTTTCTGTATGCATAAGTCTAGTTTAAATCGTTTGATTGCGATCGCTTCGGCAAATCGTAGTAAATTTTCTGTCCTTTGTCGATTTAATATTTTGAAGTACTTAGAAATCTCTACGAGATGTCCAGTATCATGTCATATTGATTATCCCATGAAGGTTATTTAATTTCCACTCATTTTTTAAATCTCTATTTTTACTGGTATGTTCTAGTTGGAAAACTAGGGCAGTAAATTATTGTGGGAAAACAATGTTTGTAGTGGCTACGACAAACAGTTGTAATAATGTGTTACATAGTGGATGAAGTCAGCGAATGATAACCACTGTGGTTGTCTAGTCCTAATTATATTGATCGAGTACCTATTAATTAGCTGTGAAATACTGCTGGTCACTAGGTCAAACAGTATGATCCCGGAATTTCTATCCATTAGCATGCATAGACTTTTCTGCATTTCTTATTGTTTTAATCAATGCAATTATGTCAAATGATCGTTACATGGATCATTACATGAAGAAAAAGTGTACAGAAATGGTCCTCTCTTCGTGTGCAATAACATTAAGTCAGGCTATTGCTTTCGCATGTAAATCCTGCATGATGACTAGGTATTTTTGGAAATAAATACGCTGAAAATTGCTGTTCTGTGTTCATATATTGTATGAAATAAAGCTTTATTACTATATATATTAATATTATTATATATTACTAATGTACTATAATGTTTAATTCGAAATTACTATTTATATCAGCCAGCTTAAGCGATCAGATTTACGCCTAATCGGTAAGTTTTAATTAACACAATTGCAATTAGACAGATACTTTGTTGCAATCAAGCAGTCATTTCACACTCTGATATACTAGGTATAATCTTCAAACTCCGGATTGGGTTAGTAATATTTTTTTCTTCTTCACGTTCCCCAGTGGAACATATGGCTTCAAGCTAGTGGCTTGAAGTTCCTGTAGCAGTGTTTATTTTACAAGATGGGGTTGCCAGCCTCATGCCCAACCTTTCCTCTTCACCAGCTTTTAGTTCTGGCTTAGCAAGGTAAATGAGGATCGAACTCCGGACCATGTGCATGTTCGGCGAGCGTCCTAACCGCTATGCCACCGACGCACTGGGTTAGTAATATACGTTAATATTATTCTACCAAATGATGAGAGAATTTCTAAAATTCATTTAACAAGCAATTAGTCCATTATTTGGTAGTTGATGCCTACCATTGGAATGCAGGACACGCATTTCATTCTAAGTAAAACTAGTCAAACAGGTTCAACTTAGTCCCAGTGAATGATACTGCTACTACTACTGTGATTTAAACGCAACAGTCATCATTCCGAATGTCTACCGACTATTATTATTATTATTATTATTATTATTATTATTATTATTATTATTATTATTATTATTATTATTATTATTATTAAAGAAGTAATGTCAAAAAGGAAATAAAGCCAATTGTTATCAGTTAGGCGTTGGTTCTAGAAGTGCCCATTATCTGCAACAAACAGTGATCATTGCACCTTTGTGTAAAACAGACAAAGAGAAATCACACGTTTTACTAATTAATCGGTTATCTCTCTCTTTATTATCAGGTTCATTGTTCACTGTAATGTTTAATGATAGATAACACGACAAAGCATAGAATGTTGTCAATGATTCATTCATTATTAATACTACCGTTATTTCTTAGTATTATCAGTAATAGTAGTATTATTAGTAGTTTTTGATAGATTGTTTGTCAAGTTGACAGTAGTGACTAGGATTAAGAAATAGTGAGTGGACTAATTGTTTATAAAGTTATTTTGATAATTTAACAGTTGTTCAGTAATACGAGAAATATATATATATATATATATATGACCAGACTAGTTATGATTGATACAAATTAATAATTCATTTTATTATACTATAATATTTCTATATTTATGAATAACATTCTATTCACAGTCAGTGTTTTAGCTGAACAATATAAATATAAATAAAGGAGATTAGTAGCAGTTCAATTGCTCTCATATACTGACAATATTTAGATGGATAATGGACAAGTGACACTTATTTCCGTGTGTGAAAAAAGAAACAACTTTGCCTACGCTAATCCTTTCATCTTACCAAATATAACATAAGTGTATATACTATTAATTGACAGTGTCAAGCTGAAAACATGCTGTGTTCTAAATATATTTTCTGATTTGTACAGTTTAACTTACAAATGGTGAGTTCAGTAAGACAATGAAACAACCAACAATTTGTCGCCCAAGAAATATGCAGAAGGAAGTGGAGATAACTGGGGATTGTGTTGAGGAGACCCGGATGACAAACGACTAGTTGAGAGTCCGAGGGTTACATGGAGGAGATAGTGTGGATAGGAAATAAAAGCTAACTTGGAGTCAGTGGTACAGCGGTTGGGACGCTCGCCGACCATGCACAGGGTCCGGGGTTCGACACCCCGCCGACGCTCACCTTTACCTCGCTTAGCCGCTAATAAAAGCTGGTAAGGAGTAAAGGTTGGCATGAGGCTAGCAACCCATCCTGTAAAATAAACACTGCTACAGAAACTTCAAGTCTCTCGCTTAAAGCCCTATGGAGACATGAAGTCAGCTACAACAAACTTTAGAGGATACAGTGAACTGGACATGTGCTGGAAAAATTTATGTGTTCCACTAGGAAGCAAAGGTTACATTATTAACAATAATATAACCTTGTAAAAATTATATTAGTCAATGTCAAATCTTAACCAACTGACACTGTAGCCATTTAAAGCAACTGCATTTTAACATAAACTCAAACTGACTGACAGCATAAGTAACAGATACCAGAAGAAAACCTTGATGGCGAGTAAATCAACTTGAAAGTCAAACTGATTTAATCCTTTATTGAATATATGATTAATTCACAATATTTTTGTGACATTGCTTGAATCTCCGAAGAGGAGCTATTACAACATGATCACGGATGTCAGTAACCAAAAAATCAATACTCAGAGCGTCCTACCGACGACCACCAACCAACTATCAGGAAATACTGTTAATTCACTTAGCAGTTAATGCCTTCTCAAACTATTCGTAGACATCGATGACTGTCTGAGAAAATAAAACTACTTTCTACCCTCTCATATATTATATTTAAAATGAAGTAAATGGTGAATTTGAAATAGTGTTGATCAATTTTCAGTTATGCGTGTTATGAATTTAATCAAGCCACTTTTAACGTGTCTACCCATGATGTAGTCAGAAAAAGTTGTTTTCATTGTTCACAATATGCAAAATAATCATTCAATATTAATTAAACGTTCATAGGGCGGCAAATAACACCATTTTCTCAATCACTCTCACTTCAAACTGTATACGGTTAAACAGTGTTGCATCACTTCATGAAAATTCTACCACAGGTCAATCATCAATCTAACTTGCTAACAAAACAAATCAAACTATACACATCACGTAAACAATGGATGGATGAATCACCAAAATTCGACGAATAGTCTCAAGTAGTTGAAAACAAAATACGAAGTGATGAACACTGCTCACCAACTGTTATGACACTACACTAAATTACGGAAATCAAGAGATGACTCATCATATATCCTATACTGAATGGCGAGCGAATTACACATAGGTCAAACAAGTAGGTCAGAGTTCATAAGGTGATGAAGAGAGAGAGAGAGACAGAGAAGAGTTGACAGATTAGCAACAGAATGTTTGATTATCGAATGGCCGGAAAACACTTCTGGTCAAAATGACGAAAATAATTACAATCGATTTTAGGGAATATTGCATTGAAGAAATCAGTATAGTGTTCACATTCATATGGTAATGAGCAATTATTTGTGCTTGAAATATCATCCAGCTATTGATAATGCATCACTCACTGTCTGTCTGTCTATCTATCATGTGTCAAATTCTACTCTCACCTTGATTCCTATCACCCTTCACAACACTCCTTATCTTCAGAGATTTGAAGTAAAATTAAGCGAAGAGTATTCTTACCTCACGTATGACATTTTTCATCTAAGAGAACTCCTTCTTCCCTAAAGCATGTTCCGAGATTCAGTGCGTTTAAACAACAAAATGGATTCAGTCGGAGTTTCAGTCTTACTATTCATCGCATTGTGCTTGGAGTTGTAAGCCATACGTCACTCTTAACAGGAGTTAAGTCGTCACATGAGTAGTTCAATCGAAACAACTTCATTTTCATCACTGGTTAATGTGAGTTGGAAATTCCAACAGGACACAGATTCTACATTTGTTACAAATAAATTACTCGGAAGAATTCAAACATGTAGGGAAATTATATCTATGATTCACTCCTCAGGTGGTTTTAGGGTGTTCAGTACTGATTGCTGAAAGTATTATTCTGGAATATATTCTCCAGATTGTTTCATTATCATTTGAACACATCTCTGGGATATGTTCAAAGAATGAACAAGCTAGAGAAATGAAGTCACTAACAGTTATCTCACTGGTATGTTCTGATTAGGAATAACAAATTATGTTTCTCATATCATTCACTAGACTCAGTTAAAGCAAAACACATTTATTACAGAATGGTATCTCACTGCAATACTGCACACTTTCTTCAATTATATCGAGTATACAATTGATGCTTTCATAAGCAGTCTGAAATGAGTGAATCCGATGGAAGATTTAGACAGAGCACACACAAAATCCAACATGCAAAACAAGGAATAAATTATACTCAACCTCGACTGGTTTACTAGTCGGTGTTAATCCTTAAAAACGGAGAAGGTTTCAGGTGGAGCTGGAAATCCTACTCTAGAAACAAACATCACCACATCTAACGAAACTTTGAAAACATGCAGGTAGTTCCATCCTTCACTAACAACTCTCGATGGATGAGAGAAAAATTACTGTATACAGTCATCGACTTTGCAAATGAACTATTCGTACACGAAGAATTCACTCACAGTTGCACACTGGTAGAAATGGGTTTTCTTTCGTTCGCAGGTGAAGAAGGAATACTAACAACAGTTTTTACTCTACACTTGTCAGCAATGTCAGTAAATTCAAAAAGCATAGACAAACTCATTCATCATGTTTATAAATAAATATTGTGTTGTTGTCATTCAAGCTGACCTTCCATTTTAATGAAAATCAAAAATGAGCATGTGTTAATTTTAACTGACTAGAGTGGCGTAAGTGAGAAGGGAGAGACAAAGTGAGATAAACACAGAGAGATGGGTGGAGAAGCTGCCTCAAACTATACTTAGTAAATAAACCTTCATAGTATTCTCCCTTATCTCCAACTAATGTGATATGAAAACAAGGAATGAGGAGAATTGGGATGTGAATAAGGGTAACAGTTCACTTCAGTTAAACGATAACACTGGAAACGACAAGAATCAATAGTTTCCTAATCAATAGGTGGATAAATACAATAATATCTTTTGTCCCGAGTGAATGGTTTATTTACTGAATCGATTCGCAATGAGATAATGGACCTGCTACTGTGACTTATCTGGTGACGATTAGACTTTATTCACTGGGTTGCGAGAACTATGAATTCGAATGAAATTCTCATGCTTGATTTCAAACACAATCTTGATTGATTTGATGTTTGTGTATCTGCTTTTTTGACTCCTTACGATTCTTGTATTTTTTACAACTCTTACAGAAGTCCATATTTGCCTCCGTTTCTGTATACATCCTAATCAAAAGTCACTCATGAAATTATTCATCTTAGTGCGTAACCACAGTGCACTTATTCAAGATCCCTTTTGAACTGACTAACATCAACGACTATGCATTTTTACAGCTCGTCAACACCCACCACCCTATCCTAGTTTCAATCTGGTTACTCATCACATTTCTTGAAATATGCTGATGACATAGACTACAACGCTTACTAATTTTTATTCTTTTCTGACATAGTTAATGTGTACAGACATGCAAAAATAAATATATATAATTTTTTTATTTTCGATAGCAGCTAGATGCCACACAGTATTTTCAGTACAAGTATGACATTTTCAGCATGGATATCGGTACCCCAAATTTTGCAGGCCGACCATAGATATCAGGTGTGCGTCGGCAGGGGATCGAACCCCAGACCATGTCCATGGTCGGCGAGAGTCCTGACCACTGTGCCACCGACGCACAGTTAAGTGAAAGAGTTAACCGAAGAGAGACTCCTCCCTGAACTACACATTTGTTTTCAAGTTAGTAATCATGAGAATACCGAGGTATCTGTCTAAGGCAACCATAGGTCAAAATCAGGTTAACTAATTGAGTCAGTCTATATATATATAAATACATATATATATGTATATATATATATGTATATATATATATATATATATATATATAGTTATACAGTAATGTTTACAGTAAACAGTGCTGTATAACACTGTGAGACTTTATCAAAACAAAATTTACCCATAATGGAATTACACTCCACCACAGTGCACAAGTTTGATTCTTATATCAATGACTGCAGGATTACCTGTAAGCTTTCGTTTATGTGAACGTCCCGAATCAGGGTCAGGAGAAAAAAACAATAACAAAGATTAACCTTGAGGAACTCAACAACCAATCACAGCACACTTAGTGTGTGCAAGTACAATTAGCAGATATATGACTCAACTTTCTCATAAATGGTCACAAGCAGTACAGATGACCTTCAGAAAGAAAATAACCAATCAGAACAAGTTGCGTCCCTGCTAACAATAACGCTAATGATAATGTACATGAAAAAATCGATTAATATCTCTTGATTTTATCAATAAACTATCTGTCGCCTGGCCCTTGTCTCCTGTCGTTACAAAATAACTCGATGCAAGGATGTTGTACACAGATAGGAAGAAATATTGGCACTTATTGATAATGTATCGATTGTAATGCTTTCTGTGCTCAGACTAAATTGTATAACCTATGAGACAAGATGAGACAGGAGAATAAAAAAACAAGGAATGATTACTGAATCATAATTATTTTCTCTCATCCTGATAAGATGTAAGCCAATAGACAGCGGGGTTAAGTCAGTTGATACAATAAACACGGGGAATGATTTCAGCTGATACAATAATAAAGGCATTGAACTATGAGAGAAAAGCAGGACTGAGAGTTGTTGTGAATTAGCGTGAAACAGTTGTAGGTAGTAATCAGGCAGCAAGAAAGCTGGTTCGACTCATCCATAATCGGGATAAATAGATATAAAAGCATGATGAGCTATTGGGCAATAGTCATTGCCATATTCTCCAGATTTTCAGGCAGGAGAAAATTTCTTCAGTGTGTGGAATACCTTGAAATGATGAAAGTCCATAAGTGAAGAATGCAGATTTAGTATGGATTCCTGATAATTCACTGCAAACCAATTACTGTAAAGGGAAAATTGTTTTGGAAATCCCTCCTGATGAACAGTGTAATCTCAAAATTCATACTTATTTGGATGTTTCAGCTAACTAATTATTTTCAAGTAATGGTTTTGTAGGGATATTTTTGTTTGATTGGTTGGAGGATTTCATCATGAGCTGACATCAGTTAGAGAACCATTGGAACACTGAGGGCACTTGTCTTCCAATGATGTCAACTATGATGAAATCCTCCAACCAATCAAACAAAAAATATACCTGGAAAACCATCACTTGAAAATTAATCCTATGCTCACTAGTGACTGGTCCTATTCAGGCAGTTACCTGGTTATTCACATTTCTTGAAATATGTTGATAACATAGACACCAATCCTGAGTAATTTTTATTTTTGTCTGACACTGGTAATGTGCACAGACATAGAAACATAATTATATATAATTGCGATGGTACAGTTAAGTGAATGAATTCACCGAACGTAGACGCTAAATTCACTGAAAAGTTTAAACGATTTACAGCTTAAAGCATAAGAGTTCAATAAGTGCTCGAAAACAGCAAAAAGCATTTATTTCAACGTTTTAGGCTTATATCAGACACCACGTAGGTTGAATCAAATGCACATAAAAATACTTTAGTAATTACAAAACGTACCTCGCCGGTAGTGTTTTTTTAACACGGAGAACCAAGAATATCTTTTGCTCGATATGGGGAAAATAGCGAAAGACAGACAATCTGAAAGTGTGCCTAATGGCAATTTATAAACACTTATTACTGTATATCTCCATCAATTCTCTTAACTACTACTCAATCTTTACAGAAGCATATTAGCTTTTTAATTCTATGTTCTATATAACTCATCATTGCAGCTTACAATGTGATTAAATTTTCTAAAAATTCCCATAATTAAATTTTCTTGAGTTTAACCCTTTTTGACTAACATAAATGATCTGAAACTACTCATATGGTACAGTAGTATATTCTTAACGTTTTAATCTAATAATTTTATGATAGGTAACAGCATTTAATTTTTTTCCCAAAAGATTAATAAATAGTGTTTTTTACATTTTATTACCATTATTACAGTAAGTAAGATGTACTTAACACATTTTAAAAATAATTCCCACTATCATTTTGAAATTTTATCACATTGAAATGTAAATTACAGGCATGAAATTCATGCTTTGAAGATAATTAAAGGTGTACAATGGTTTGTCGATGATGAAAAGGTAAAATATTGTAAACATTTGAATAAAAAAGAACTAAAACAACTATCTTCAGGAAAAAGAAGACAAATACTTGAAAGTTAGTATTTAGTTACTGAAAATTTACGAGCAAACTATTGTCTTTAATGAAAATCTCATGCATTCTATTCCTTTGTGTCGTTGCAAGTGGAATATAGGGCTTCAAGCTTCAGCTTTGAGATTTCAGTATCCGGGGTGTTTATTTTTTTTTACGGGGTGGAGTTGCTAGCTTCATATTCAACTCTTCCTTCTTACCAGGCTTATTATTGGCTAAGTGAGTTTTAGGAGCGCGTTGGCCAGGGATTGAATCCTGGGCCACATAAGTGACTGGCCAATGATCTGCCGATGTACCATTGACGCACATACACCGCATATTAATGAATACACTCAACAGAAGATATGCGTCTGATATTTTATACATAAATATCTATAGAATTGATG